TGATAAGACCACTGCCAATCGCTCCCCCTAAACCGTTAATGGTATATGGGGAAACACATGAGATTCAAAAAATTCTCGATTCTAGATTACACCGTAGTCGATTGCAATATTTGGTTTTATGGAAAGGATACCCCCTCTCAGATGCTAGTTGAGTAGAGTTGGGATGTTCATGCTGATCAATTGGTTATCCAATTCCATGAGGATTTCCCCCACAAACCGAAGGGTCCTCGTGGGGGGGGGGGGGGGGGGTAAGGACAATGTATTAACCCCTGTATGTGTTTTTTCTTTTCTTTTAGGAGTTTTCAAAGGGGGATGCCTGTTAGCTTTGAAATTCAGCTGCCACATTTTTAGTGTTAGAGGAGTTGAAAAGTTCAAGGTTATTCTGTATGTCACATTAAGAATTTCCAGTTGCAGTTAATTGGTTCTCATGATTTATGAAGTGTAGAAGTGGGAGGAGAGAAGGGAGGAGAGAAGGGAGGAGAGAAGGTGGATTCTGTGCAATGTGCAAAAAAAAATTTCACTTGGGAAATTGCTTTTGACATGCCAGATCTGTTTCTAATAAATCAATTGGAGAGATAATGTCTCAGTGATTGATATCATGGATACTTTCTGGATGCCTTACATTTGGTTTTCCAGGGAGGTGGTGTTGGTCTGGAAGTGTGTCCTTTCTGTGTGGAGAGGACCTTCCAGGATGTGTCTAGCAAAGTGGCTAGTGTCGGGAGGCTTTCCTTGATTTTTTCGACCCGACGGCTGTGCTAGACTTTGATTGTGGTGCTTGTGGTGCTTGTGGAACAGGTGCGGGGGCCAGACAGTCGGCTGCTCTATGGCCATCCTGGCCACAACACTAATACTTTATCATCCTGTTGGGTTGGATAAGAGTAGCTTCAGCAGGTTTGGTTAGCGGTCGTCTGGCCACAGCTCTCCTAGGCGGGCCTTCAGGTAGGGTTTTTTTTTGTTGGTTGATGTTGTGGTCTAATTTAAGGGAGACGATATACCATGCTTGCAGAGTCTCTGGCTTTCCCCTAGTGTTACAGGCTTTCTTTACTTCTGGGTTAATGCATTTTTAAAATAGTGTAAGATTATTCCTTCAGACCAATCCATGAGGTGGCTTGCGAACCTTCTAAAGTCCCATATAAAGTCTGATAAGGGTTGCTTGCCCTGTTTCATTTCCATTAATTTGTCTTCATTTTCTGCCACCCTGTCCGGATTTTCAAACCTGAATCTCAATAACCGAATAAATCCATTGACATCTTGTAGCTCTAGGGCTTGTTCATAGTGCAACTGGGCTACCCAGTCAGAAGCATCCCCTTCATTCATCCCATCTGTTATTGCAGTAACCAGATCGCTCTCTGTTGCATATTGGCCTCCAAATTCGTTGATGTGGGACCAGATTTGAGTGAGGAAATAAGCAAAATGTTCATGGCGCCTGTCAAAAACTGCCTTGAACTGTATCTGGTCTGGTCTGGGTTGTGGGTGGAGGTGGTATTGGCCTGGCACCTGCAGGTTGAACTGGAATGAAAGGAGCCTGACGAGGTATATATCTAGGTTGGAAGGGTCTTCCAAGGCCTGGCTGGCTTGTTTCTCTGGGAGAGGAGCCTCTGTAGGGTTGCTCCATGTGGGGGTTGATTTGGTGCCTGCCATACGGAGGGTGGGTGTTGCCTTATTCTCTGCATGGGGAAGTGGCTACTGTCTGCTGCCTGTGCAGATCCCTTTGTGGGGAAGGAATTGCTTGATTCCCTTTTGGACCAGGACCTTGTTAGTGCTGGCATCCATTGGTACTGGATCCACCCCTGGCCTGGATAAAATCACCACCCTGGAAGGATACTTTCTGCAGGGGGTAAATTTCTTTCTGGGTGTTGGGAAGGATTTGGGCCTCAAACCTCCAGTCTGTCTCCTTTGCTGTATGCAGTGGGCTCGAGAAAGGTTTTTCTCCAGGCAGTTTATTTAGTGTCATCTGATAACTCCCCCACGAGTTGGAACGTCTGGGCTTGGCTCCTAAATCATGTCTTTCCTCTGCATATCTAAATCCTTGAATCATCTCCTCCAAGGGAGGGGCTGAGGAGTTCAGCTAATGCTCCGGAGGGCGCCCCCCCACCCCCCACCCCCAGGCTCCATCTGTCTCACCTTCTGTGTCGGCTGATTCTTTGGCTTTCTCCATCACTGGAATAAATCCTAGGGTTCAGCAACCCCTTTTTGCTCCCCCTTATGGGAGTGCTGTGTTAGTTAAGTTTCAGAATAGTGTCAGCATTCCAGAGATTATCCATTCTAGCCAGTAACTCCAAGACATAATTTCAAAGTATTTTTATTAGAATAGAAACTTGGTACCCAAAGTTTCCCCCCAGACTTCCCACAAGGACCCAACCTACAAACCATCCCCTTTTTCCCACATCATACACCCCCTTCAGCCCCAATTCTTGCTGCACTATACACAATGACCTTGAATTACTACAGAATCTATTTTGTCTACTGGGAGCTACTCAAACAACATCAGCCCGCTCCAATCCTCCGCAGCTGTGTGGCAGCTTTTAATGATTCCAAAGCTGAGAAAACTGCAAAAAAAATAGAAGAAAACAATAAAATAGGGTAAACCAGAGATCTCTTCAAGAAAATTGGAGATATGAAGGGAATGTTTCATGCAAAGATGGGCATGATAAAGGAACAAAATGGTAGGGACCTAACAGAGGCAGACGAGATTAAGAACAGGTAGCAAAATTACACAGAAGAACTATACAAGAATGAGCTTAATGTCCCTGATAACCACGATGGGTGGTCACTGACCTCTAGTCAGACATCCTAGAATGTGAAGTGAAATGGGTCTTAGGAAATCTGAGCAACAACAAAGCTAGTGGAGATGACAGTATTCAAGCTGAGCTATTCAAAATCTTAAAAGATGATGCAGTAAAAATGCTACACTCAATTTGCCAGCAAATTTGGAAAACTCAACAGTGGTTAGGATTGGAAAAGGTCAGTTTACATTCCAATTCCAAAGAAAGGCAATGCCAAAGAATGTTCAAACTATCACACCATTGCACTCATTTCACATGCTAGTAAAGTTATGCTTAAAATCCTACAAGCTGGGCTCCAGAAGTTTGTGGATTGAGAACTATCAGAAGTACAGGCAGGATTTCGAAAAGGCAGAGGAATTAGAGATTGTCAACATATGCTGGATCATGGAGAAAGCTAGGGAGTTCCAGAAAAACATCTGCTTCATTGACTATGCTAAAGCCTTTGACTGTGTGGATCACAACAAATTGTGGCAAGTTCTTGAAGAGAACACCATCTTATTTGTCTCTTGAGAATCTATATGTGGGACAAGAAGCAACAGCGAGAACTGGACATGGAACCATTGATTGGTTCAAAATTGGGAAAGGAGTCCAGCAAGGCTGTATACTGTCACCCTGCCTATTTAACTTAGATGCAGAGCACATCGTGAGAAAGGCAGGGCTAGATGAATCAAAAGTTGGAATTAAGATTGCGGGGAGAAATATCAACAGCCTCAGATATGCAGATGACACCACTCTAATGGAAGAAAGTGAAATAAAGAGCCTCTTGATGCAGGTGAAGGAGGAGAGTGCAAAAGTTGGCTTGAAACTCAACATTAAGAAAACTAAGATTATGGCATCTGGCCCTCCCAATTTCTGGCAAATAGATGGGGAAGAAATGGAGGTAGTGACAGATTTTATTTTTCTGGGCTCCAACATCACTGCAGATGGGGACTGAAGCCAAGAAATTAAAAGACACTTGCTTAATCTTTGAATTACCTAAATATGCAGAAAAGCCAAGTCACAATACAGTTAGATTTTCCTTGGTTGTGGGTATTATGTAGAGTGTATATGCAAAACTATGCTCAGTAAATGTTATGAAGATAGAGGGAATGATTTCTGAAATATTGGGATCCTAAATTGTTTCAGTTGGCAGCTGGTGATATTAATTTAACCCTGAGCTCCTGAAGGAAAGTCAGGTATTAAATATATTTATGTTAATCCTCAATTTATGACAACTGGAATCAGAAACTCAATCAATGAGTAAAGCCAAAATTCAGCAAGAACCCATATAATGTTTAGCACAAGAGCTATAATCCCTGCATTTCCAGTTGTGGTTATTAAGCAATATCATTGATTGTTAAACAGACAAGAGTCCCAGATAAGGCATCTAGCTGGGAGAAACTATTCAGGAGCTGAAAATCTTCCCTGCTGAAATCCAAGCAAAATTTTCAGATCTTGAGCAAAGACACACACGCATGAGGCCCGCACTGATCCTTGTAGAGGGACCTATACGCCTTCCCTTACATGCTCCCTCTCTCCTGTTTAGATTTTAACTTCTTCTCATCTTTAAGGGCTGGTGAAAGACCTGTCGGCTGAAGAAGTTCATCTTCCATCTGTGTATGGATAGTAAGTCCTTCAGCCAGATGCAGGAATGGAGTTGAAATATTCATGATTTCAGCTCCATTTCTGCACTCTGCCAAAGGAGTTCAGCTCCCCTTGGCAAGTGACTGCTGAAAAAAATAGTTTTCCTTTCAGCAGATAGCAGCAGATTGCAACCTTCCCTGCTGGCTTCTCCAAAGATTTTTCTGGGTAAACATGACAAAAGATTGAAAATGGCAATTACATGATTGTGGGGAGCTTGTCAATCAGTCATATATGCAAGTAGGTTGCATAGCAACCAGATCATAATCACATGATCATGAGGATGACAATGCAATGTTTTGTAATGACTAAAAGTGCTTTATGGGCCATAAAATACCCTTTTCAGTGGTATTGTAGTTGTCCATAATTCAGGACAATAGTTAAATGTCTATAAGTTGACAGCTAACTAAAAAAAAGCCAATGAGTTATTATGCATGTTATTATATCAATCAGCTCTACTCCATCTTTCTGACAAACCAAAGAATAGTAATTGTAACTATTGCTGGAATCTCTTCTTAAGAACCAATATATTAAATTGAAAGGGAAAATAGAGAACCACAAAAATAGTGGATTGCAAAATCCATCTCAACATACCTCTCCTCTAAATCCATATGTTGAAATTCTAGTTAAATCATCAAAAGTCTGAAGTTTACTTGTAGTGAATCTTTCACACACAATATCCAAGTCTTCCTTCTATAGAAGAAAAGGACAAATCAGTGGTTTTTAAACTATCTTCTTTATATGGTTGCTAAATAATTAAGTACTTTACTCACCCTAATTCCAGAACCATTATCTTGTACCTGAATAAATTTCAAACCACCATCTTTAATTGACAGCTGGATGTTGGTGGCTTTAGCATCTAAACTAAAAAAAAAAACAATTATGAGACACTGCCAATCCAATGCCATTCTATATCAACATTTAGAATAGGTGCATGAAAATTCTAAACAGGCAACAATCTATTCTCATTATACAGATTATACAGATAGAAGTAGTCCTTGGATTATGATGGCAATTGAGACCAGGTACTCTGTCATTAAGTGACATATCATAAAGCAGGGGTGTCAAACTAGCGGCCCAGGGCCCGGATGCATCACATGCAGGCCGTGCCCATCCCAGCTCCGCAAAGGGAAAAAACATCGCGAAACATGTGATATCAACATGACGCCACGAACTTAACACCCATGTCATAAAGTATAACATTATGTGACTATATCACTTAGCCATAGCTGTTCCAGCAGTCCTAAGTGCCATCAATAAATAAGGAGCACATGAGATTTTAAATGAGGATCTCACATAATTGTGACTTCCAACTTCTGACAGCTTCTTCACTGACTTGGCTCAGAAAAAAAATCAGAAATCACATCATGTGATCACAGCTTGTTATTATGTCATAATTGTGAGGTAGGTGCTGAGTGTCTGGATCATGATATCATGAGGTGCCACAACAGCTCAATCTCCAAGGAGCCATTCAGAAACTTCAACTGATGCAATTGCAGTTACATGGACATTCTAGCTACACTATACATGTAACACTATCACTATATGCGTTGCACTGGTTGCTAGTTGTTTCTAGGTACAATTCAAGGTTCTGGTTATCAGCTTTAAAGCCCAACACGGTTTGGGACTGGATTACCTGGGGGATTGTCATTTTCCAAGAATCTTTACCAGCGCAATTCAATTCAGCAGATTTGGCATGCTGCAGATCTCATCAGTCAATGTGTGATGATTGGCAGGAACTCTCTTCTAGTCAACTGTTGTGCTTGTCTTCGGGGGTGGGGGAGGCAGGGAGGGCTTGGCTGGGGTAGATGTGGCCGGGATGGGCATGGCCAGCTCAACATCACTCATGGGGTGGGGGGGTACCTGTGGTGACCAAGTGCTAAGGCAGGACTTCCCTCAGACCCTCCCCCATTTTCATTATAATCTACTTCCCTCCCTTTTTCTTCTTCATTCTCCCTTCTTCTTTCTTCCACTTTCCTTATTTTTTCTTCCTTGCTCTCTTCCCATCTTTGTCTTTCTCTTTCCCTTTCTCCTTTCCTGTCCCTCCTTGCATGCTCAAATGCAAAAGGGGAAAGAAAGATTTCTCTTTATTTTTAGTTTATTTTTCTAACCTTCTGCCAGCAAAAATAGAGCTCGGGGAGCTACACGGGGCCTCACCAGACCCCATTTTCAGCCACAATGGCCTCCTGCAGTCCTCTACCAGCAAAAATGGGGCCCACCTAAGGGGGGGGTCATTTTTGCTGGCAGAGGGCTGCAGGAGGCCATCGCAGCTGAAACAGGGCCTGAGGGCGCATGCAACCCCCCCCCCCCAGCTCCATTTTCACTGGCAGAGGCACGGTGAATCAGGTCCTTTGCTGTTTCCAGGGCAGCCCTGCACGCCAGATCTAAGCACCCAACAGGCCACGGCCCTTGAGTTTGACACCCTTATTCTAGAGTATGGTTACTGTGAACTTTTTTTTCCCTCCCCCAACCAGTTGCTTGTTTTAGGCCTCTCACTGGAATGTGTTTGCAGGAAGTCACGATGCTATTGACCCATTCTTCTATTCCCTCAACTTTTTCCATCTGCACATTCCATCACATTCTGAATGGTTGCTGAATATCTGTATGACCTTTTATTTCCTTTTCAGTAATGTAAAGGCTATGCACATGTATTTATAAATTTATTTTAAATGAAACTTTCTTAATACTTATGGACCACTGTGAGGAGTTAATAACTTTTATTAAGTATAAAGGAATTTAGAGTTGACCTTGGACAAGGTATAGGAGAGTGGCTAAAGAGTGAAGGAAGGAGTCTTATTTACTTACTTACATCTTGCCCTTTATTATTTTTAGAAATAATCCAAGGCAGAGAACATATTTAACAAACTTTCCTCCTATTTTCATCACATGAGGTGGGCTGACCTGTTGTTAAGAAGGGAACTGGAAAAATAGTTCAGAAATAGAAAAAAGGGAGAAACTCAAAATAATTCCACCTTAATTTTGTTCAGCATAAAATGGGACAGAAAGAAACTTGAACAGGCTTCTAGTTTCTGTTAAAATATTTACAATAAAAAAAAAACATTCATGGAAATTCAGCTTCTTTTTTGACCTGCCCTAGCTTGAAGGCCTCAGGAGTCTTGAAATCCTGTTCAAATTTTTCTGTCCCAACAAATTCAAGGTGGGGTTATTTTGAATTTTCTTACCTACCAACTAACTCTAGATTATATAATCTCTTCTCTAAACCTCTTATCAGTAATTTACTCATTCTTGCCTGTTTAGCAGCTCTTATACTTTTTCCATGAGAATATAGGTCAATTTTAATTTTTTTTCAGTAAGACATGACATCCCATATTATCCTCAAACCCGCCCGAAATTCAGATATATAATAATGCAATAGGTGTAATTCAAATATTCCACACTAGGAACTATTTTTGCGAGTGTAGGCTGGTATATACCCCTTGCTTCTCTACAACTATTAGGAGCAACCAACCCCAGGACCCACTGGGCATATTACCAGTTCTCGATCATCTCTTTAACGGCATTAGCCGGTCGCTGGATGATCTCTCCGGCTGCAATGCGATTCACTACAGTCTCATCTAGCCGACGGATGACACCAGCTACAAGAGCCATGAGTACCGAGATTGAAGCGCGAGTATTGAATTGAGGGAAAGCAGAAATTACACGCCCAAAAGCTCCCGTAGCTTGAAACTACGAAGAAGGGGGGGCACCGTACAAATGAGAAGGATCCAGGGAGTAAAACGTACAATGCTCCTAGCCTAAGGAGAGCGGGACTTAACTTAAAAGCCCGTCCAGGAGAACCAGACCATCCACAACCCCTCCCTTGGCGCGCCCAAAAACCGACAGACCACTATTGTCATAATCTCGCGCTAAAATTCCGGGATCGAACCACTGTTGTCATAATCTCGCGCTAAAATTCCGGGATCGAACTCATTGTTGATTGGTTGCAAGCATGCCAATCAAACTTCTTGGCTCCTTTTTTTTTTTTAAAGGAACGGTCTTACATTGAAAGGAAAACAAAGGCAGAGAAAAGGGTGAAGTGGCCTTCATAAGTGTTTTCTAATGTATTTTTTAAAAAACAGTCGAGGTAGGAGTGTTGGCAAACTCAGATATTAAGTAAGAGCTATGCAAAACTGCCCGTTTTATTTGCACACTAGTCTCCTGTAGGGGAGGGGGAGTTTTTTTTTTTTTTAGTATTGTATATGCATCGGGGGAAATGTCTGTAAGACGAAAAAAGTCTCTTACTGCTGAGTGGCCCTTTATTGCAAAATAGCAGGCAAGTTTGCTACATCTATTTTAACCCAAGCACGCTTAATTAATTTTAAAACGATTCAGATAAACCCAGTTCGCTCCTTAGTCTTGTTGGAAGAAATGTCCATCTGGGTTCAGTTCCAGTAAGAAAGACATGGAAACATGGAGACTTCTTAGAAAGACGGTTTAATGGTGGCCAAACAAAAACACATGGGTGAGAGAGGGAGAGAGATTTATATCCTCTGTTGGGCTTTGAACTTGCTTCCGGTTCCTGTCGCAAGAAATGTATCCTGATTGGTCGAATCTTGCTGGGTGACGTAATCTTCCCAGGTGCCATGTGGTAAAATGGGTAGAGGGCTAATCCTGTCTTAATCCCATCACCCTCGAGCTGAAGCGGGTTGGAGGCAGGGAGCTGCTTTGTTTTTAAAAACATGTTTCTCCTTTTCTCATCCAGGGAAATATTTTTTCTGCCTTTTTAATATTTCCTAGAATATTTCATTTTAGGAGAGGGATGGATGCTAACTTTCTACACTATCCCCCTTTTTTGCCAAAATATGTGGGTGGAACATATATGTTACTGGCAAAAGATTAAAAATTGATCAGATCAGGGAGATTTAATAGGTGCTTTTAATTTTTCTGATGCAAAGGGAATGACATTGATAGAGAAAAGGATTCCTTCAGTGGCTCCCAAAAACTTTCAATCATGAAGATCTAGCAGCGAGGGGGAAAGTTCTGGAAAGAAATTTACAGTATCCAATTTTCTATGCCAATTATTTTTAGAGGCTAGATATCACTTTCTGTGAGCTTCCAGTCAAGTTTCAAGCAAGCCACGTCCCTTTTTTTTTCCCCACAGCCATGGTTATTCTTTCAATTACAGGCTGCCCATTTCCAAGGTTACTAAACCTGCCCTAGCTCTCAGCTTCCAGGGTTGTGAGGCCAAACTGAGGTTAGCCAGTGTGCAATCCAGGCTATTTAGTATTTTTAAAATTACACACAATGAGCTCTGGGACTTCTACTCATGAGACCACCAGTGCAAAATATCCTGCTTTACTGGACAACATAATTTGTGAGTCACAGTCAGGGCTTGGATTTTGGAGATCTCTTTTCTGCTTTGCTTTGAGGGAATTGCCTGTGGGGAATGCCCCAAGGGATTAGCCGGGAGATATGACTGTTTGCGCCTTAATGCCACAGAGCAAAAATCAACCTAGGAGGAGCTTTGTGTGATGAAGATAAAAGATAAAGAACAATTTGGTTTTAATATGACCTACCAAGAATTAGATAAGATTTGGCATTGGAGAGGAAAGGAAATTGATTAGTAAAATATATAAATATCTATTGGATTATAAATTAAAAGAAGAAACAGTCAAGGAGTGTATGATAATTTGGGCAAAAAATGTGGGCCACAGCATTGAATTAGACATGTGGGAACATATTTGGGAAATAAATTACAAACTAACTATGTCAGCCTCGTACAAAGAGAATCTCTATAAAATGGTGTACCGTTGGCACTTGCCACCTGCGAGACTGGCTAATATATTCCCGAACCTCCACCCAAATTGTTGGAAGTGTAACTGCGTCCAGGGAACATACTTTCATATGTGGTGGACATGTCCATATGCCCAGAAGTTTTGGAAAAATATCAAAAATTGGATTCTAAATATAACTAAACAAGATGTAAAACTTGAACCCAAAACCTTTTTTGCTGGGTATGATAGACTCAAGAATAGAGAAAAAAAATCAATATTTAATCTTGCACATTATAATGGCAGCCAGAATAAGCTATGCTCAAAATGGAAAACTCTATTGTCCCTTCAGAGGAGGTGGTCATTTAAAAAATTCACGAGTGTGCAGAGATGGACAGCCTAACCAAATTACTAAAAAACAACAAAGATGGTGAATACTACAAAGTTTGGAACTGTTGGTATGAATGGTTAAAGAAAAAACAACATTTGACAACTGAATAAGTTATGAAACTATGAAGGACGTGCGTTTAATCATAAAGTATTCTGTGAAATTAAAACATTAAAAGTGAGGAAGGTATTGTAACAAGGAAGATCACATCAATGTT